TGTAATATGAATTCAATGTTGAAGTTAGTATTCGTTTCATATAATAGTGTTTCACAACAAAATTCATTTTTATGTTAATATTTTCATTGAGAGAGAGAGAGAGAGAGAGAGAGAGAGTAGCGGAAAGAGAATGGGAAGAGTAGGTACTGTAGTCTGTATCGTATGGTGTATAGTGTGGTAACATTGTGTTTGGGAAGGGATACGTGAGCGGGCATTTAAGCAGACAAGTTAAGTCTAAACTAAATAAACAGCATTCAAATTATGACCAAAGCATTCAATTTTGTTGCAAATAATACACTATTCATATCGACAGCATGTGTGGCATTTTCTCCCAGAATATCATACAATCTTTAATATCTATACAGTTGTCTGAATATAATACAGAATCATATGTCACAAGACTTTTACATAAACTGGAGTCAAAATTAATTTTTTAGTCTCAAAATACTTGTGCGATTCTCTCAATGAAAATATTAACATAAAAATGAATTTTGTTGTGAAACACTATTATATGAAACGAATACTAACTTCAACATTGAATTCATATTACAGTAAATTTATTATAATTAATTAGGATTTATATGTTTTGTTATATAGTTGTTTTGTACTGAATAGTGAATTTTATGAGCATTTTACAGAATAATTTGTATTTATGTATAAAAATTAGATTAATTTTTAATAGTTTAGACAATTTTTATGGACGAATTAGTCGAAAATGTTTGGGAATTATTTTTTGTTATTTAAAAATATGTTGAAATATCAATTTTGAACACAAAAACAACATATTTTTACCTCAAAAAGCAAAATTTATTTAATACATGATTTGATCTCATTTATGGTTATCTATAAATTAATCGAAAAATTAAACTCAAATATATTATTAATATTTGTATATTAAATTATAGGATATTAGTACTGCATTTATATATATTATGAGAGCGTTTGGTATAATTTGCTTTTCAAATAACACATTTCGTGAATCAAATTTAATGACAACACAAATATTAATAATAAAATATAGGATTAAATGAGAAATGAAAACTAATTGAATTTTTAATTTTAAGTATAAAATAAAATATTTTTGTTATTATATGTAAAACTAGAGAATAAGATATATTTTCAAACTATTGAGTACTGAGTTCTTGAGTGAGTATTAACCACACTTTGAGATAATTGAAAAAAAGTCAAATCAGAGAAAAAGGTTACCTTTTTGTTGGGATATATTGGCTGTGAATATGTATGAGAAAAGGCATAGGAATCGGTGAATACATGGTGTGACCACAAGTGTTAATATCGATTTTCATGCATATTTGCCAATTCATGCCAACCCAGCGCTACAATCGACCACACAGTGAGGGGTATAAGTAATGTCTGTGTGGCCGCCGTACCGGTGCTCATACCGGTCCATGTATTTGGATATGGGATACACTGCTCCAGCACTGGTATTTCCTACAGCGCTAGAGGTATATAACGAATAAGTTAATCATATTAGACGTTGGAGTTCACGGACGATCATCCCTTAAAGTAGAGCCCATCTGCTGGTCAGTGGTAGTGGAGAGGGCACTGGTAGGGCACTGGTAGGGCACTGGTAGACAACTGTTGATGATAGACCTCCCGCTGACCTCAACAACCGATAATTGCCTTTCGCTGTGAAATAGATTTTTATGCAATCCATACAATAGAGGCTCAGTCTTAGAGCAAAACATTTCCGCGAATTTCAAGACATACAGTATATCATTAGATTTTTTGCCAAAACTCTCGCTTTGTTGGCCAAAAAACAATCAATTCTTGGACTCAACAGATGATATCAATTGTAGTTTAATTTTGTGCCCGATAATTACATTTTGGTTTTACTAAATTTACTATCAGTTTCATTATTATCTCCAACCCTTTCCCTAATCCCTCGGGTTCTGTCTTTTCTATTGAATTTGAATTTAAAACATATTTTGTTTAAACGATACTAATGTGTGGGAAAAGAATTCGTTTAGTTTATCAATCAAATGACTTCAAATTTACCGTATATTTGAATTTTATATTTAATGAGCTATATGAGTAATTATATAAAACTAATGTTATTAACTTATAATTAACTTTAATTTTATATGGCAGCAATTTCATATAAGAAAGTTAATTAAAATTTAACACAGTATAAGAAATTTCTTGAAAGTTAAAAAAATATCACAAAATTAATTGAATTAAAAATCCACTTATACTTTGATAATCAGTGGCTAATCACAGACATTTCTACTTAAAGTTTATGTCTAAAAGTCTACTTTGAAAGTCAGTACAGTAATTGAAACGAATAATATTTTTCAAATCTTATACATATTTTTAACATTATTTTTGTAAAAATAAGATTTTGCAGAATATTTTCCATACAAGAATCTAAACCACAAAATAATTAATAATAATAAAAGTCAAATCAAAATCAATTGAATGCATTATAAACATTAGGAAGAGACGGAACTCTATAAGAGGGAAGTATTTCTACTGAAAGTATTTCTTTTATTAAACACATATTTATAATATTTTATTAATTGAATAGTGGTTTAAAGGTATCGAGGAATCAGTAGTCGTGTAGCTTCTCATGGCATTTGAATTGACGATTGAAAGTGTATTCATACGAATGGATCGCATAAATCATTTGGTATTAATTATTGAGGACAATGAGTGACAAACACAAACCGCCGGCGATTAAGTCTACATAATCTTCATTAGTCTACTTGAAGGGCAATCGATGTCCCTCTGGAGAGACAGGTCTATAGTATAGGCAACGGCATCGGCTATTAGGCCGACACAGGCATGGATTTGTGGTGAGGTCTGTGTGGTGCGAATCGCAGAAAAATAAGCATTTAAGACATAAAATACATAAGAAATACAACACTTATTAAAAGAGCTAATGTTTGTGTGAATATTATTAGCGAATAAGTAATAAGCAAAATGATCATCAATTAAGATTTGCAGCACTTATAGCAAACACGGGACAGTTGGCTATGCGATCGGCCCAACGCACTAAATAAGCTTTTCTTAGACTCCAAACGTATGATTGCTGTGAGAAATTGCATTTGCTTTCAATAGCTGTGTATATCATTTGAGTTTATGCAGTTTAGTCTGTATTTGAAATCATAAATTCAGGACATTATTATACACACCATTGCATGACATTCACTTGAGATGTGCCTTAACTTGTGTGGCGTATCGTTTGTAAGCCATCGGCACCACCTCCCTGTGCTTAAGACCATACCTCGATTCGTGCCTAACAATAATGAATGGGAGGTGACCACCAAATCAGTTGATATGTTGGTGTTCCCATCCATGAGCGATGCTATACTACACACAAACCACTACTAAATGTAAGGCCTGCTCTCAAAACAAACTCAGTATTAGTGAAGTCCTCTGTATTGACGGAAAGTGTTGCACCGATTCCTCGATTACATCCCAAGTATTCGTATAAATACTTCGCTTATAATTAGAAATTTTATGAACTTTTTATGTTTTCATTCAATCGTTTTAATTATTAAAGAGTGAGACTACGGTATAGCAAGACTCAAGAAGTTACTTGTGATTCATTTGCATTAAATTATAATTTTTCCACTAATTTTTGACTCTTTGATTATGAATGGATTAAAAAGTTTCTCAATTTATGTCTGATATAATGTGCTGTTTATCGTCATAGATGTTAAGACCATAAGCAATAAGAAATTGCAATAAAATTCATATTTTATTAATAAAGTGTTAAATATTTGACTGGAAACACCAATTTTTAAACTGCTATAAAAACTTTGTATTTGGTAAATCGGTGTAAATAAACATCTAATTAGTTTTGTCGCTTATTTCAAATCAACATTACTTTATAAAAAGTAAATATTAAGTTTAAAATAAAGTTTGAAAACTAAATGCAAATGTCGCTGAACATAAGAGCGCCTCTATTTGCTGGCTACCCCTTTCAAGGTATGTATTCAATTAAATACACAATTGGTTTAATTACAAGTCTCTGTATCTATTTATTACAGATACAGAAAATTTGATTTACTTTCAAACATTAAATTGTATTATAAATTAATTATTTTCAATCACTTCTTATGACAATTCCTAAGTAAATAAAAACAGAATAATAAGAATATCTTTGATGCTGTCTATAGGCCAGGGAAGAGTTAATCAATTGGGGGGCGTATTCATCAACGGTCGTCCCCTTCCTAACCACATACGGCTCAAGATTGTGGAGTTGGCGGCGGCCGGTGTCAGGCCTTGTGTCATAAGCCGACAGTTGAGAGTATCTCACGGATGTGTCTCCAAAATCCTCAACAGATATCAAGTGAGTTAACCATTGATTCAATTTGTAAAACTAACTTTCAAAGTCTGTACCTCAAAGCATTCAACCTTGCTGCTAGTTTGCATATTTTTGCATATTTAACATTGAAATCAGTTTACACCATAAGGAATAAAATATAATTCATTAATTGATTTTCATGTTAGACATTGTTTGGTGTGTGGTATGTGTACACACTATTGAGTACATTATAACATATGTACGCCCCCTGTAAACCAGAAGCACTTTTATCGCGTTTAACAGCCATAATAGGGAACCCCAGCGGCTAATACACTGTTCGCTACACCGAAACCCCTAACAAACCAAAGACAAGACTTTTCTTCTCATATCATAAGAAAGTTTAGCACAAAAATTATTTTCCGAAACCAAATTGAGATTTTATGCCAACTCTTAATATGTGGGGTATTTAAGGGTATTTTTGAGTTAAGTTTTCATTTTGGGATTTAAGTCATATAACAATACGTTTCCGTTGCAGATATAATACATAATACAGTCTCTCTCTATAGCTTTGACATGCATTATGTGTCCACAAAATCATACAAATTTTGTCCCAAAAAACTTCATAAAGAATGAAAAATCAGATTATCTTTAAATATAATCTCAATATAATGTGATTTTGTCACATATTTAACATACAATACATATGAGAACTATAGAATTAAAACCATGAAATTTGCATAACTGTTAACACAATCATAAAAGAAATATTATAATCTCATAATTCTCTCTCTCTCTCTCTCTCTCTCTCTCTCTCTCTCTTTCTCTTATACTACATTTTTCTTTTTGATTGAATGCATATTGAATTAAACATGTGGTATAAGTTGATAAAAGCCATTGAAAATATGGGGTAATACCTAAACTAACTGTTAATATGATAGGAGACGGGATCGATAAGGCCGGGAGTGATCGGCGGTTCAAAGCCTCGAGTGGCCACTCCGGACGTGGAGCGACGAATCGAGGAATACCGGCGCGAAAATCCGGGAATATTTTCGTGGGAAATAAGAGACCGACTCATCAAAGAGGGCCTTTGCGACCGAACCACCGCTCCGTCGGTCTCATCCATTAGTCGGCTATTGCGCGGACCCAACGGCTCAGTGACAGGCAGTGGCGGCGCCAAAGAGAGTGAAAGTGTGGGCAAAGGAGGACATCATCACAAACATACAATTGACGGCATCCTCGGTGGAGACAAATGCAATAATGACTGTAAGTATTGTTACTCTTCTGCATAAAGGGAGCCAATAGTTAGACGTTTAACACGAAATCAGCCCTAAGACCAGCATTTAAATGGATGTAACCCTCAATTTTAGCCTAACTTTTCCATTGACCGCAACTGTAGCCACAAAAGCGAAAACCTATTTATATACACTTAGTCCGTATGTGGTGGTGTTATATCTGCCGGTGCTTTGCCGCAGAATAATAGTTAATACTTTAAGAGTTAATACTAATCCGATTGGCTTTCATTTCATACAAAAGCCCACTATTTATGAGCGCTTTAAAGGCTGCCAGCGCTTTAAGATTGCATTTCAATTGTGTTTGCGCTGCCAGTCCTGCCATTGAGACACCTCTGCCACTAATACCCGAAGTTTTGTTAGTAATGAGAGATCAAGTGAATGGAAAATATGTTTTGCGACCAAAAATAGAGATGTATTCAAGAGATTTGCATCAACTTTGAGCTCAAAAAAAAGTTGTGAACAGAAAAATTCAAACTCTAATGCAAGTAATGATTGTGTTATTCGATACCTGACTCTCACTCTCACTCACTGTATGTTAAGTTAGCGTTCAATCAGTTGTGAACCTCATCTCAGCATAAGTTCTTGTTTTGTGCATAATTTTAAAGGGTTTGCAGACTTTTGTTGTTGTTTTTTGTGACCAAACATTTTCCCATATATTGTATAGACGTTTTCCATCAATTCATTCATTATATTCTTTCACTCTTTTTGTATTCACTCTTAAAACTTACGTTTAATTAAATTCCGAAATTAATAATATCTTCAGAGTCACGACTGCAATGATGTCGAGTGGTCTGTGCTCTTGAATTAATTCATTTTACGCTCTTTTCTATAGAAAAATAAAATATAAAAACACTTTTTATACGTCCAATACATTTATAAAATATTTATATGAATCCCATTGTGTGGGAAAGAAATTAATGACTTTTATATCAATATTTATTGTTTCATAAATCTTTTCTACGATTTTTACTTTCGGAAGAAAAAGTGAGAAAAATCTCAAAATATTGATAATTAATGATGGAATCAATTTGTGTTATGAATACAGTACTAGTACCAGGCTTTTTTTAAATATATTAATAAATTGGCGAATCATATAAACAATTCATCGACTCTGCAGTCAAACTGCATGTGATTTCTATAAAATAAGTCAATTAGGATGAGAGAGAGAGAGAAAGAGAGAGAGAGAGAGAGCTGGAGGCACCTGAGAGAGTAGAGTACTGTGAAGTACTCCGGTAATAGATTGGAGGACCGGTGCTAATCAATGTATTGAAATAAATGAGTTTGTAGTGTCAGAAACAAATGTCTGTTGCAATCCATTTGATAGTATATTATCCCGTGTTTATCGAGACCTTCGCTTTCAATATACATCTTATATATGAGTTTTGACGCTTAAAATGCTTGATTGCATGCAATTCGTACCGCTCTATTGGAGCGCCGGTACTCTTTTATGGTGAGTGCGGTCCAGCTTTTATTGGAAATGGAGATCACTATTAATAAACTCAATGATTGCTAACCACAAGAAAAATGTAATCGACATTTAGTTACGCGATATTCAATACAATATATCATTTTCTGGTATTTCTGGCAAAAAATGTGTATTTAAATATATATTATATTTAAGTGAGTTATTAAAGAAATTAATGTTTAGTTAGATATAAACTAAATGGAAATAACAAAAACTTAACTAAATTACGATTTTTTGGTCTTTTTCTACTTGATTTCATTTTTTAATTTCATATGAAATATCTTTTATCTTATTTTTTGGTTGACATCCGAGAGCACAGAATCTGATTATCCCTTAATTAGTATTTAGATGAGCGATAGGGCGGCAAAAGGCAACTAAACGCTAATATCATCTAATGTTGACCACAAGGTGTTCATTAAGACACGAAACCGCCTCAAGAGATACACAGATATGAGTGCAATAGAGAGCAAACTTTCGGCGAAATAAGTTTTTTTCATACGACTGTTTAGACGTTTAAAGTTCATTGAGTAGTAGTTTACATGGGATGAGAGGCCAGTGAGTGGTGGGTACGACCGGCCACACGAAAGCCACTAAACGCACCAGAAATGGACGGTTGGCGTGAGTCCCCACTCGTATACGACTCGTAGTCTTGAATAACAATAATTAAATTTGGATTATATTATGATATTCGCTGACAATTAGTCTCAATAATGAGAACTATTCATAGGAATCGCTGTCAGAATAGGAAAGACAGATCTTTGAGTGAATTATAATTGGTTTGAATAGCAGACCCACACATTGACTGATACAGTACTCGGAGGGGGATAGGGAGGCAGAGAGAGACTGTTGAGATATATAAACAATATTAGCAGTGCTTTTAAAATGTGTCCGAATCCGCTGCGAATTGACTGTAATTTAGTTTAAACAAAATGATAGCGTATTACAAATTAAACGTATAATCATTTTTTATTTAACTTTTACTTATACTAAGAAAGTAATTTACTTTTAAGAATACCTCTGAATGTCTCGTTTGTGGGAAACACACAACACATACAGTATACTGTATACAGACATCCACTTCAATCAGTATAGTATGGTATGGGATGAGGCGGTAGAGGAGGATGAATAACTGGCCGTAAAGTTTAAGTTTAACTCAAAGTTCATTTATCATATAATTGAATGACTTATTTTCGGGTTTCATTGACATTCACCACAATCTGTGGCTCATTCTGGAGCCAAAAACCCTCCGCAAAACATATGAGAACTTAATCTCAAATCAGAAATTAATAGCATTTGAGAGAAGATATGTTCACAAAAAGTAAGAAGAAAATCAAATTTCCAAAACAAAGTTTAAATATATTAAGTGTAATGTAATGTGTGGTCGAATATTAAAACAAATTAGTTTCACTATTGCAGCAACCTCTCTAATGTCTCGTGAATCTCACAGCTCAGGTATATTACCCTAACTATACCACCACTACTACCTGTGCGCTCCGGTGGTGGTGGTGTAGTAGTGTATGTTATAAGTGCCTCTTTTTGTAGTCGCCGCACATCTATATATAATATAAATTTCGACTTTTTTGTTGAAAATATTTCACTAATTAAATTACAAATAATTAATTTTAGGGCTTTTTCTATCAAAAAACAACAAAATATATTAAACGCATATAATATATGCTGTGGGCTATCGCAGCACTATTACCACACGATTTGCACTGTTATTATTAATATTAATATTACGAGATATATTTTTTTTTATTACTCTGTATTAATAGCTAATATCGCAAATTAAAATGTTCTTCACTCCATATGTCTGTAGATATGGGAAAAATTTGAGATATTTTTTTATTTCATTTGCTATTTTTTGGTCACATTTTTACAAATCATTTTGCGAGATTTCACTGATTATTACAAATAAAATTATCCGATCCATTATTTACTGTTATTTTTGTTATAATCAATATAAGGAATTTAATTAACGCAACCTAACATTTTCTCTATACCAGTACACGTTTGACAATTAATTAATTTATGATTTGCTTTTTTATAATTCAAATTGTTTTTGGTGTATGCACAAATAAATTAATTGTTCCACAATTTGATTGATTTGAATAACTAGTAATTGGGAAATAAGAAACAAAACTCATTAATTATATGTAGAGAGACAAGAATTGGCTTACAGTTAGTGTCAGAGAAATATTAACGGAATATATATTTGTGTGAAAATATAGCGGAAGAATCGGGCGATTCGGACAGCGATGCCGAGCCGGGGCTCACATTGAAACGCAAACAGAGGAGATCCCGGACCACATTCACGGCCCACCAGTTGGATGAGTTGGAAAAGGCTTTCGAGAGGACTCAATACCCAGATATATATACTCGCGAAGAGTTAGCCCAACGAACCAAACTAACGGAGGCCAGGGTTCAGGTAATCATCATTTTATATATCATTTATATGTTTCTCACTCTTTGCCTTTCAATCACTAATTGGTAGTAACTGTAAAATCACTGCTATTTTCGTATATCATATCGTGTCATGAATTCCTTGTGTCCCAATGGCTATATTCAGTGCAATGCTAACTGTATTATTATTTTTTTATACTCAAAGCTCAGAAATGTGTCAAAACTTGAGTGATTAATACTAACAATCGCTTTTCGCGTTCAACTCTTTCGGACATACGTTATAGCATCAGAAAGATGTGTCAGTTAATTAGTTTGTCATTAATTATCATTAATTACAATCAGTTGTGCTTTTGTGTATGCAATCAATTATACATTACATTAGAGTTTAAGTCGTTATAAGCACTTCCAAAAAGAGTTAGGCTTTAGTTAGGATTTAATTTCTATTCGCCCGTTATATTGTGTGTACGCGGCTGTAGGTTATGAATCATTTATTTTCAAGCAATTTCTTAATTGATTTTTTTGTTGCTCATGAGAGGAATTGGAGATAATAAATTTTTGTGAGTTTTCAAAGTGTGAAAACATGTGTTTTAAATGTATGATTAGGAGATACAGCGCTAACATAGATAACAGCGCAAAACACACACACAACTTTTACAGACAGTGTAAACTCAATCATCAATAAATGGTTGCAAATTGTTTCGTATAATGAGTGCCTCCGAAAACTTCGTCTAAAACACTGGGTATATTAAATTGCCTTTATAGTATTTGCCGGTTTTGTAAAACACATATTACATAACTTCCAACTCGTATATAATGTACTAAAAATTGTAACAAACAAATGAATAGAGAGAGAGAGAGAGAGAGAGAGAGAGAGAGGAAAGGGTTAATAGGAGTGTTTCAATCATTATTCAAATGGCATTTATTATAGACGAGACGTACAATCAGTTATTAGCGGTCATAACAGTTAAAACTAAACCTTTTTAGACCCGACGCCGAGTGAAGTTTTAATATGCATTACAACTGCACATATGATTTGTGCCCAACATTTTCAATGTCTCCTCTTTCGGCCCATTATTTCAATGTTTTGTAACAATGTTTTAACGTAAAGGGAGGGCAGAGACAGAGGAACTCATCCAAGAATTATTACCAATTGTTAACGAATGGGTCATATATTTTGTGCATATTTTTTTGCAAACGCTTTGATTAGCGAAATGTATAAACAAATTGTAGGCAAGAATCGACTGAAGGCTTAAAGACATAAAATATATAGCATTTGAAAACATATAACATTTGAAAATCTATTTTCTCAAAACAGAAATTGCATTTTTATAGTCAAACAAAACAACAACACAAATAATTGCTGTCTAACCATAACTATTGTTATATTGTATAAAAATTTTTGGTCAACGATTCATAACTTATAGTGTTGTGTGTAAGAAGTGCACAGACAATCTCTTGTTGTCTCTTAATGGCAATAAAATATAATTACATTTTCGACATTCAAGGCACTGGTGGTACCCGAAGAATGTATATGAACACAAAAAAGTCTATCTATAATATGCGTAAATCGTCGGATGTACACAACGCCCAGTGCTCAGCAATTGTGCTGATTTACAAACTCCTAAATAAGAATTAGTGTCGAATTTATAATTACTATTTATGAGTTCCCAACACTTATTACACTTATTTTGGTGAAACACCAGAATATATATACATTGAGATATTGAAAGAATGAAAATGTAATATAAAGAAAAATTTAATAATTGATTTAAAGCGAGACAAATCAGTTTAAACCCATTTATAGTCGGTTTGGATGAGAAACAAACTGTTTCGCTGTTTTGCAAATTTATTCACTGTTTTCCTATTCAGACAAAGCCGTCGGTTCCCTATTATTACGACTATTATTACAATAATCACAAACATATTTGTAACGCATATATAATGCATATATAAATTTGGGTCTTAACTCAATATTCAGAGATTTTTGGTTACTCTATTCCTAATGTTATGTTTTTTAATGCTATGTATAAAATGTGTTTTAATACAATTGAGTGCATCGGTGGTGACCATAAGCTCAGGCCTGAGAGCCCCTATGCATTGGCTCTTATAATATAATTTGAGTCAATTTCATGGCCTGACTCCTGAGTCTGATAATAGCATAGGCCCGAGGCTACAGATGTCAAGCCTCCAGCCCTGGTCTATCATCCAAATAATTTGAGCCCTATTTCGGAGATAAATGCCAGATTAGGCTTAGGGTTAAGCGGGCCCTGACGTTGTGGGCATCGGTATCAGTGATCTAAATATACCGCTATATATCCTATCTATATATGACATCCGACCGACACATAACGAGTGGACTTAGACTTTGAAATCATTTACTGTTAGTTTGATTTTCTACTCCTGAGATGATTATAAGACAAACGATCCGCTGATTGAAGTCTAACACATCTACTGAAGGAATTGGTGTTTGAAGTCTCAAATGTTTGACAAGAGTTTCAATTAAATATTGTTAGAAATGAAAATATGCAGAAATGTATGCAATTATTGCATCAGAGGACTGGACCTCACATGAGTTCGTGTAGAGAAGCAGATAATTAAATCAAAATATGCGGTGTTTTTGTGGTGAACACACGAGTACTATAAGAATGGCTGAGCCGTTGGCCAACACTACAAAATTGCCCACATTTTGCCCGTTTTGTAATACTGTTCCTCTACTGTTGGCATCTCTCAGTTTTGACACATTTGACACTTGAAATAATATACAGCGGCGATGGGCAGCACCTCTATGACGGTGGTATTACAGACCCCCCGAGGCATCCCATCCTAATAATACTCCATACGAAGGAATCTCTGAAACACAACTGCACTACAAGTCATTACAACACTTCTCTCTCTCTCTCTCTCTCTCTCTCTCTCTCTCTCTCTCTCTCTCTCTCTCTTCTCGCTATTCCTCTCAAGTTTTGCTCATATTTTTGTTTCGTTTATAAGAAATGAATTTATATTTTGTCAAAATTATCGCCAAATAAATTGCAAATGTATTACAAAACATGTATTTTTCCGATGAATTCCTATGCGATTGTATTCTTGAGAAGTATATAAGAGTTCGATAACATTAGACTTACTTTGAAAATGTATACATTTTTTGGTGTATATCAGAGTTAGGAAATGAAATATTTCTCCATTTTATTTATAAATTTTATTCTTTATTAGATGAATAAGTTGTAGTTTTGAACTTAATATCACACTTAAACACAATAATAATATTATAGCTGTTCTACCTGTCCATCAAAATTGAAGTTTAAATACAAAATAAAAACTTTTTATTTATGATATTAAGTAAGAAAAACATTTCGCAATTCATTTCCTAAAAAGTCATTAAATTAGAAAATAAAATGAAAATAATTAACTCATATTAAGTCTAAAAATCGGACAAAAAATTCCCCAAAAAACATGTTAATAGACACACAAAAATTCACATTCAATACTAATATAGCGAAGGAATTGAATGCAACATGAAATGCAAAACTGAAACATCTTTTTCTATTTCTCTACGCTTTGAGACCTAAATATCTTTCACAAATGAATGCTAAAAAATTAGCAAAAATGAAAAATCTAAAGGAAATGCTCGTCTAACACATGATGTGATGTACTGTACTATAGGTTTGGTTCAGCAATCGTAGGGCCCGTTGGAGGAAACAGATGGGAAGTCAGCAGTTGAATGGCTTTTCTGCGGCATTGGCCACATTGCCTGCAATGCACGCGTACTCCTCGTCCGCAACCAATCCTTACTTGACATTTGCAGCGGCGGCTCAGGTCGATGCCAACCACTACACCAACACATCCCAAGGTATTACTCCATAAGCATGAACACTATTGCTTATCCCATACACGCATCGCATTCACTCATCTCAATGCAAACATTGAGAGACTAATCGTTTTGCGATTTAGACTCACAAAAACATATTATATTTACATAAGTTCCGCAAAAATATAACATGAGTTTAAATACTAAATATACATATCGTTGTATTCATATTCAGTTGGCTATTATTTAGGATTATAGACCAAAATTTTTGTGTGAAATACTGAAAGTATACAAAAAAATATATGATTCTCAAATTGAATTGAAAACATATTTATTGCGAAATATAAGTTAACAATTAAAGTTTTTGTTATTGAATTTGAATTATTATTTAAACTACCAAATCATTAGCTTATCACATAGTTAAGTATCAGATAATTTGAGTTTATTAAAAGTCGCGAACATAAAGCATTTAAATTATATTTTAAATAACACTAAATCATTCAATTGAGACTTAAATTTAGAGAAGAAAATTTATTTATATATAATTAGATAGCGTTATAAATATATAAAAAGGTGAAAATTTTATGGCAAAACTTCAAAAAAGAGCGAAGAATTAATTGTTTTTGCATTTTATTGCTAAGTGTTTGAGTGGAGAGAAAAGTTATTTTATTTAATTGAAGGCAAAGAAAATTTTTTGTGAACTGAGAAACATTTGCTTGAAATCGGGATTTAATTGCCCGTCACGTATACATTGAATGTAAATATTATTAGAAATCTAAGACTATTTTATTGGCTATAAATATACCCCTCATTCCAGTGATGACCAAAAGGGTGACCACTTCTCTAGTGCTTTACTTGTGATAAAATAGTTGTTCACTTATTCTTGAGAAAGATTTTTATCATTCATTATGTTTTATCTATGCCTAAGAATTTAAACCACCAAACAGTCACTGGTTTTGAATTTTATCATTTCCTAATGACTCAATAAAACATTTATTAAATAAATTTCACTCATTTTTTATATAAAAAATCTATTTTATTATGAAAATGTTTTATTTGAGGCATTCATAATTTGGAAATTAATTTTGACACAAGTCTGACATAAATCATGAGATACAGTGAAATACATTTTGATTGGGAAATGCATTAATTATTTGATTGAATCGCTTTTCACCGAAAATTCTTCACAATATGTTAATGAATGAGACATTTTTGACAATTATTTTACATTTGACACCTAATCATATGACTACACGGCCTCACGTTAAGCACCATTCCCTTAATATAATATATGAAACAATATTTAGATAACAAGTCCAGAAGCACTCGGAATATATGTATGATATAAGTGTGGAGTGCCTTCAGGCCATGAAATGTCATTTAGATTGTTGTTGTGTTTCGCATATATCGGTGTTGTCTATAAAAATGGAAAAAATTAATTCTTTATAAAAGATTTTCTCGAATTTTGTAATTGGATTTGAATTTATTATTGATAGAGAAACTTGTTTTTTGTATGTGTATTGCATAGAGTGTTCAAATTTACACCACTCGGGACCAGCTCTTCACCATCAAAGTGATACCACGAGTCGGTCGGCACCTTATCTCTCAACGGATCCCAATTATGCCGTTTCTGTATCATCAGCAGCACAGGTAAGACACATACCTTTCGCTACAATTATGCTATTTTTCTTATCATCTCTTTTTCGGGAATTTTTTTCTCGAGCGATAAGAATTTAATTTTAATTATAAGAATCTCATATAAAATGATCCAAAGAGTTAATCTAGGTATTATCATAAAATGTATGCCTTGTTTTAAATTAGATATCATTTGCTAATCATAATTTTATATTAGCTATAGTTTGCGAGCAAATAATGTAAAACAATCTATAATATAAGGTTTTTTATTCATTTTGATTGCTTATCAAACTGTGTTCATTCATATCTATTCTTACAAAAAAGTTTATTTTTGTGAATATTTGAATTTATAAGACTCTGATTGAGACCTATATTAAGAATATACTAAAAAATAAATGTCAGTCATATAAGTGTATTCATATCTCACAGGAGAGGCCACTCCTATTTGATATAAACTCCTATTTGATGGCATAACTAACACAATAGTCATGCACTCTATGCTAAACTCATCTCAACTTTCGCCTCAACCCTATCATAGCCCACACAAACAGTCTTTACTTAAAACTTTTCTGTTAAAAAGTAAAGTTTTAGACACATTTCAAAAAGTTGTTTAAACATCTAGAGGAAATCTTTTGTAATTTTACTTTTTGATCTCTCTCTCTCTCTCTCTCCAAATTTTTAAACTTAAAATTTACAACTTTATTGAATTCAAAAGTCAAAAGACCCTGCATAAGTCCCTCTTATAAAACATTATATGAGACATTAATAGTTAATTAAAAATCTTTAACTATAAATACTTAATCAATAGTTAGGATCTTTAAGAATCGGGGAAATAAATAACATTTTAGTGTGAATTTAGTTTACAGAAATAATTATAGACAGATATTTTTATTTATTTTATGCAAAGATTTATTTATTTCTTTGCAATGATTATGTAATTAAAGTTCAATAAATTTTTATCTTTTTATAAAATTGATTATTGATTTCGAAAGAGAAAAACTTTTGTAATTAATTTATATCGCATTATAGCAAAAACAATTTAAATATAACTTTTGTTTTTATAGGATAATTTGAAGTTTTAAGTAAATAACTAGTAATAAAATTGCTAATCAATAAAAATTCAATTAGAAACACAGTGCAAAACATGTTTAATATTAAATTGTAAAATATTAAATGTATGCAATGTGTATAATTCACGGATACCTTAAAGTTAGCTATAAATAAACTTCATATTATGTAAGGTATTAAGTGCTTAAAATATTGCAAATAATTTCATATACTGTACAGTAGATTTAAAAAACAGTACGAAATATATTAGAATTAATTAATTAAAAAATCAGTTTTTCTTTTCTTAACAGACGATATGATGTAAAATAAGATGAATTTGAAAATTGTTTTTCGTATTATTATAAAATACATACATTAATAGTGGGCAAAATTAAAATCGCGTTTAAATACATAACTACGAGAAGGTATCCGAAGTTATAATTGAATTCAATGAACGAAAACTAATTCTTATGATTAAACGAGAAAAAGCCATTAAGTGGCTCTCATTTAAAGTCTTAAGTTTGTTATGAAATTTTGTTTCTTAGTTTTCCAAATTTAATTGTATCGAAAACTTTAATTTTTAACTGATTATGTGGTCGACCCCAACACTAGGAGCCGATCCATCTTATTTAATATAGCTTTGCGGCTATAAGTGTTGATTTGCCGCAAGGCTTACAACCATTGGCTTCGACTCTCATTTAGTTAAACATTATCTCTGTTTATATGAGATCCAGAATCCGCTGTATTATGCATTGAATGCCATATACTGTGCGTTTTGTATCCATATAATGCTTTCCCAATCATTGCAGTCATCGATGTTTTTCGCATTCAATGCATGTCTTAACACAAGAATTCACATGAAATTAATTTTTACCAAATAAAAGATGGTATAAAAGACCTAATTTTTAATTAGATGCCTGAATGGAAAGTATGAAATTTAAATGAGTTATTGCTTATTTATTGTTCGTATGTATGAGTGAATACATTTAGATTTCATTTCAATAGACAACTGCAAGAGAATTGAGTTTCTATCCAAAGACAAAAACAGCAAGGTTTGATTGAAAAGTGAGTTTACTATTGAGAAATGCTTTCTACGAGTTGTTGTCTAATAATATAATACACTTTGTATTGAATTCTCTGCAGTACTTATAGTTCGCACGGAATATACAGCTGACTGTGCGGTACATAAAAGTAGTATTGAATTATATCACAGGAAACATAATAAGGCAATAAAAATATTATTGTTTTTTACTATTATTTCAATCATTATATAAACTCGACGATAGAGTTGTGCCGCAAATCCTCATAATGTGGGGAATTGTAGCTAAAATTTATGCAAAAAAAGAAAAATATAATACAAATGTATTGTGAACTTTGTTTAGCGTATTATAAGTGGAAACATATAAACATACATTCGTTTGTGAATTGTTTAGTACTTTCCTTTATATTGAAATATTAATTAAGATTTGAATAAAATATTAATTAATTATAAAAAAAAGTAAGACATCCAAATGCAAGCTATAGATTCAATATTTGCAAATTTTCAGTAAACTTTTACAAAAAATAGCTTTTTTAAACATTAAAAATACTTTTAATATTAAGTGCACGTTTCGCATTGCAAACTAATCTCACAATTTTTAATAGCCATAAAATTGCCTCAAAAACCATCGAATAGTTCTTCATATCTAACATAAGTTATGATAACTGAAGTAAATCGATAATTATTACTTCATTTTTATCACACACACAAAATCCCCACAAAAAATGAAATTTTAAATTCAATTTGCAATGTTTTTTGGGTGAAAACACAACAAATAGTTTTGTTAAACTCGCAAATTGAGTGCAAATTGTCTCGAGTTATGAAAACATAAGATAAATGCAGAATTCAGTGCCGGATATCTATTAACATAATACTTCTCTTGAGATTCAGACAAAATTAATTTGCCTACACTTTAGTCCAGATATTGGCAATAATTTATTAGTTTAATTAATTATTTAGTGATTAGTAAATAATGCTAATGAATGATTAATAATGAAAATTATTTAAATATTGTCAGGTGATTGTGATAATTTATAATAGACACTAATAATTTTGTGTTTTTGTCTATAAAGTTTAAAAGGTATATTGAATTGATAAAAGGGTTGACAATAACTAGACTACACTGTAAGCCAAAGTGAACACAGATTTAATACATTGTATACATTATCTAATAACAGCAATAAAGGGAAAAACAAAAACATAATTACATAATCAAAAGTATACAAGAAATGAGAAAAAGTGAAATTTTATTGATATTGAGTTTTAATAGCACTAAAAGCTTTTTGTGCACAAATGAGTCAATGGTTTGAGTGCACGGAACCAAGAATTGAGAGAAAATTCATTCACATTTGTGTGAATTGTATATTCAATGGTAGACTCAATGGTAGACTAGAAATGAAGATTCTGTGGACATAGTTCTGTTGGGAATTGAATTTTTTCATATATTATATGCAAAATGTTTAGCATTTCATTGCACACGCCTTTCATTTTTAGAGTTATCCACACATTTATGTCTCACAAACACACCACACATATGTCTATCAAATTGTTTGGTTTAATATTTAATTTTCATGACATTCAAACATACCATTTATAATGTATTGTGTTATAGCGATAAACAGCTGTAATAAACTGTCAAATATTTATATCAAATAACGATATGTCGATCGATTATATTTGCATTTTATATCAAACATCAAATATACTGTAATTTATATAATTCTCCGATTCTTACGAAATATTTTTTTTGTATAGATTTTTCGCTAAATTTCTATTTATTTTGAAACTATATTAAGTCCTAATATATAACTTTCAAATAAAAAGGAGTATAATGAATGAAATGATTATTAATGATTAGATTTTACTATGAACAGTGTGTGCACTTTATTTATCCAGTTATTTATTGGTAAAATATTTTGCATTTTATGTCTATTTAGAAAAAATGATCACTTTTTTGGTCATTAGTTTCACATTTTAAAAGTGAAAAATTATCATTAATTTGCATGAAATACTTTATTAGATAAGAGCTGATTATTTAGGGGAACGCATATTATTTCGCACAAACATCTCTCGCACCGTCAGAAAAGCGCCGTCAGTTGTATAGGAAAAAAGTTTTTTCCACTAAAAAGCGCTCACTTTTTGCACTAATCGGCCACAAAATTGTTGGATCACTGGTTCTGCGAGTAGTTTAGAGAGAGAAATGTCTTAACAAATGATTGTATGTATGAAAAGGCAAAAGGAGTTGATTTTTGATGGATTATTTAGAAACAAAAAATTGTCGCAATCATAACGATCCAACAATTTTGTGGCCGATTAGTGCAAAAAGTGAGCGCTTTTTTGAGTGGAAAAAACTTTTTTCCTATACAACTGACGGCGCTTTTCTGACGGTGCGAGAGAGAGAGAGAGAGAGAGAGAGAGAGAGAGATCTTTTTTATGCTTAACATTAGATTTTTCATTACATTTTAACGAAAATTTTTTGCTTATTTTATGATTTGCCAAAAACAGGAGTAGTTTTTCGTATGATTAATCGGATTTCACATATTTATGGACGCATTCGAGTGATTGGTATCACTGGAAATATATATTGAATTTTGATTATTTATATTAATTAATCTCAATCAGCGATTGGGCACTAATAATAATAATAATAAAAAGTGCTTCACTTGATATTACAGTTAGGAGTAATGTTTTGAGCCAAAGATTGAGTGTAAGAAAAATATATATAGAAATACATGTCTTAAAGCGCTGGCAAAGTGTTGGCTCAAACTTTTTTATTCACAGATAAGGCCGCTATCCGTGAACTAAATTTCATTTCTTATTTCATTTTATTTAATCAGAAATTCTTGTTCTCTTCACTTATATACTGGAAATTATTTTCAGAAAAACTTTTTTTTCGCGTTTTTTGATTATTTCAAATAAAGATAAAAAGCAAAAATTTCTCTCTTTTGATCTCAAACTGTGGTTTCAATTATATTTACTGTGAATGCTTTTAATTTGGAAATTTTCATGAAAACAATTTTTAATTCATTTCAAGTGACTTGAATTTTTAATAATATAACACATGGAGAAACTTTTTATAATTATTTTACTTGCGGTACAATATATTCTCTCTACTATTATATATCAATAATTTTTTGTGAACAGTGATTGATTCACGTGTCTTAAGTGTAAAGTAAATAAAATTAAATATAAACTCAAAATTACTCGCAATTAACTACTATAACAAGTGATTGCATTTAATTTTATAAGCAAAACATCTAATGCTTGTTATTATATGAAATGAATTTGGCGTTTATTTTTGTTATTGAATTGCTAACAAAGAGTTTGAAATATGATTTAAATTAAGTCAAACTAATCAGTATTGCACGGATGGGAACGGTATCGCAGTTTTGTGCAAAGAATTCCCCATTCACTACACAATTGCATTTAAATCGCATATGAAATCAGTTTTTCACTATTTATAGATTTATTAGCCTTTTATTTGGCATATAATTTGCAGAACTCCCTCCACAACCGATCTGATACGGTATGCCATAGTATGCCATAGTATGCCATACTAGCCCAATGTATCTCATTTATGATCCCAGTCCCCTACTCTATGTCCCGTCAAATACACTTTATTAATTAGATATTATATGAACTCCGATACTAGCACCGGGACAATAAAGGTGCAGGTGTAGTCATAATTAATATTAATTTATTATTTTATTACATATTTATTATAAAATTATGAATGAATTGACGTCAAAAGGAATTGAATTTTATTTTTAAAATTGAGTAAAAATTTGTTATTATAATTGAGATTTGAAAGAGACTTCAAACACCATAAGAGTGTAGGTATTCAGCGTTTAATTCAATAGTTTTGTCACTTTTAACAGAATGTATATAAAAATGATTATTTGATAATATTTTTGTTGTAAAAAACAAATGACTGCCAAAAATGAAAAGCACATACACTTGGAGTGCTCTTTGAAACGCCTCTATAGACCGAGTCTATCGGTGCTGTGTTTGCCATTGAATTGACTTCAAAATTGAAATATTATTTCCTTTGCTACAAAGAAATTTTCAATTTAAGCATTCAATGAATGAATACACAAATGTTTTCATTTTTGTTATTTTATCATTTGTTCGCTTCAATTGTTTGCCGTATAAAGTGATTGTTATATCAGAACAACATTTTTATTATGATTACTGTATTGTATATAACTGTCAGATAGAAGTGTAACATTAGTGTGAATGGGATAGACATTTGGAGGGGCACTGGAGGGGCAACTGGTGGTGTATATGTGTATATCCCGTTGAGTGTATGATTGCGACAATTTTTTGTTTCTAAATAATCCATCAAAAATCAACTCCTTTTGCCTTTTCATACATACAATCATTTGTTAAGACATTTCTCTCTCACTCTTGTAGTCCTGTGCGGAAACGGTGTTCCCTTCCCGCACAACTCAATTGCAGACCAATTCTTCGCTCAAAGACTTCTTTCTTTTCATTAACTCCTCTTTACATCTCTTTTGCAAAATGTCTTCAAATTTTTTTCGATACAATCCATAAAATAATTACTTTATTATTATATACTTTTGTTGCTCTATTGTCTGCTTTCATCTCTGAATTTATTATACAAATAAGAAAATTATATTAAATTATTTCCTATAATTGATTGCATTCTTCTTCTTATTATATACAGAAATCAAATCAATAATTATAGTAATAATGCATTTAATGACTCAAGAATAACAAGAATATGAAACAACTTTTTTTCGCTTATCTTTCAGTTCATTAAGTATTCTTTGCTTTATATATGTATTTATAATTCACTTAATATTTATGTTAATCACTTGATTCAAACACTGATTAGTTTGTAAGCAATCAAATTCAGTAGCTAAACATAAGTTATTAAATTCAAATGTATAGTTTGTTTTGGTTTTAATACAAATATTGAAACTAAAAATAATTATCTCCTATCAGGTGCTGAATATGTTGAACGGAGGGATGAGTGGCTGCGCCGGCAATGTGAACGACTACCCGATGAGCGGTGGTAACGGTGCCGCAAACGGTATGACCGCCGCGAGTATCACCGAAAGAGACAACACGGCATCAAATTGGATGTCAAACCACACGCACTCGCATTCAAACAATAATAAGCTAAACAACAGCAATACGACAGGTGCTCATTGGGGACACTCAACCAGTCCTACGTGTATGCCTAACGTGTTGGACTCGGGATCTTTTGGTGGTAATAGTGGACACATGTCGTCGATAGGGGCGACCAACAGTTCGGATCCGTTTGGTTTTGTGTCGGCACACCCGCCCGACCTCAAGCCTCCCTTCTATTACACGTCTCAGTTCGGCTCCGGGATCCGTGGGTTAGCTCTCTAGACATAGCCTTTAATGTACAGCTTTTCTATATAAATATTAACTCATTATTTCTATCATTACTATAAATATTATCGCATTTATATCTATGGTTAACACACGTGTATTAAAATTTATTTATGTATTCATTTTGACAGTATTATTAACTATTAATTATGATTTTTATATATTTAATTAAGAAATAATATTACCTATAAATACAGTACAATATATTCGTATAGTTAGTAAACCTTGAAGATATTTGTCAATCAATTGATATTTAGTTTAAGTTTCAATTTAAAAGAATTTCATTTAGATTTCATTTGATTGTATAAATATAACTATTATATAAGTATACAAATATACAGAATTAACATAAAATCATTTAAATACAATCTATGTAAATATTCTCAACTATGCTGTTTATAATCATTTAGTTATTAAAATAAATTATTAAAATAAAAATTATTTTGAATTCATTTGAAAACTGTATAAATTTTACTGTATTTGTTATAAACTTTATGAAATATTGAACATAACAAGTTTATATCAAATACAGTACTGTATTCATATACTCGATATAACTTGATTGTTGAATATAAACAGACTCTTATAGAGTAATATTTATAGCAATTTGAATACAACGAAAACTTGAGTGATATTTAAAATGTAATTTGAAAATAAAGTTAAGTTTATACGGGCTTTCCATCAGTCAGTCTGTCCCACGACTTCTCAACGAATGACAATTATATGCTTAGAATCTCATGAAAACCATAATTTCATATTAAATGCTAAATAAAGCATTTAGTTATGGATTACCTCCAACTCACAGCTCTTTATGAGTTAAAAGTAATTTATGTAAAAATTTTAGGATCTCTTTATTGACTAATTTGTTAAATTCAGTCTTAATTATAACTCATTAAATAGTATTTAAAAGCTATTAATTATTTAGTAAATTTGGGATTAGTTTAGATTTTTATTCTTAAGTCAATTTTGTAATTTCGTTGAACTCATACTTATTGTAATAAACTTAATGTATTTTTATTACAGTATAAGTTAATTGAAATAATTGAAGGCAGTATCAACACTTAACTTTGTTGATAAAAATCTTATCTGACAAATAAAATTACTGAGTTAACTGATTAGCATATTATCTGTGGTTCAATAATAATCACTTAAAAACCTATAACAGCCATTATGCCAATATACTGTATTTGGAAAACTTAAACAGTTTTAATATTAAAATTAATTATAATCCCTATAAAGTAATAATTAAGGCCAATAAAAATGTAAAACTCTTTCCAAAACTAATTGCTTAGACTCTAGGATTTAGTTTAATTTAATGAAATGATTGAAAATGGTTTAACTTAAAGACAAATCTTGTTAGCAGTTTTGAAAAATATATTTGCAATATTCATAAACAAAAATTATGGCATAAACATAACATAACTAAAGCATATTTTTAAGACAAACTGATCCGTGAATTGTTTCAAAAGCATTAGATAATAGATTTTGTTGGACACAATATTAGTGACACAAACTTATTATTCATTGCCAACTCGTATACTCTATTATGACAATAATTGATTACAGACTTAATTGATATATGATATGAATTGTTGCAAACATTTGTGTCTCACTCGCTAACAGACCCTAAATATACACATGAATTGAATTATGAGGATCTCTACCATATTCTGGCTCTCATTCTAGTAGTGGGTGAGAGAGTACATTTGAGTTGAGTTTAAAATTAGCTTATAATGGGACCACAAAATTAGACACATCTCTTACCATTCACTTTGAATTTTTGCACATAATTTGAAGAAATGCTTGGAAACAGTGGAAACAAACTGGAAAGCTCTGGGAATAATACAAGATTTTGTGCTAATCTTATAGTTTTATTTTTTTCAAAAGAAATGTTTCGACTTATGTTATGTTTTATGCATTATATATACGGCATAAAGATCTGCGATTAAAACGCTTTAATGTCTCATCACTCCAACAATTATACGAGAAGTCGTAATCATAAGTAATTTAAGCATTTGGTGTATATTTGGCGAAACAGTATATGCGACATGAGTCCGATAAATATTTTTTGGAAAATGATTTTTATTTTTATGATTATTATTGTTATTATCATTATCAACAGTGAAACTATTTTCTTATTTTTAATGTAATCTTTTATTGTATCAATAGCTAAATGAATAAAAATAATTTAATTCTTTATTGTGATGAAATAAACTCTCTTTTCATGCTTTAAATAAAAGATTAATTAGAAATTAAAATGTTTTTAATGATATTCAAGTGAAAACAATTACTGCCAATAAATAACTAATAAATTATACTTAAAAATAATATAATATACAAATGTTTTGTAAATTTTACATTAGCTAATTTTTTCATTATACTCGAAAACAAATACCATTAGATCTCATGACATAATAACATATATTTAATTTAAAATACACAGTGTATTTTAAAAAATAAATATTTATACAGAAAAAAATTATTAATTTTTTGTGTATAAATAAATAAAAATTTAATCAAAGAAATTAAAATCAGGAAAAACTGATTCACGGTTTGATTGGAAATACATATAAATATAAATAATTTGCAGAATCTCTGAGAGAAAACTCACGCAATGTTTCCGAAATGAGTGAATATTTATAAAATTTTTTGTTGTTTAAGATTTCTCTCTTAACAGTCAACTAATCTCTTAAACACATATAGAGATAGAGATTATTGTTCGGTAGCGAAGAAATGTTAATTAGAGCCCACCTGTGCTTTTAAATCAACCTTTTTATATGCGGTATTGAGGTTTAAAGTTGCGGTTTGTGGTGTGTGTAATACACTGTGTATGTGTGCGGTAAGAGCACCGGCTGTTGGTGTCCCGGGACATGTAGTGGAGTTGTTGTGGTGTTTTGTGCCAATTATACAATTAATGTTACAATAGGCGTGATTATCGATTTGGCTAATTTAGTGCCACATTCATAACCAGCACACAGAGAGCCCCCATTGTAGCCACTATTGTATGGCAAATGTAAACTGTTTTATCGTGTTTTTCAATGTAAGCAAACCTTCCGAATAAAAGGCCAGTTGTGTTGTGTTTTTTGGTAATACTAGTACTGGAGTTGATGTGTCGGCCTCTCTGTCTGTTTGAGAGGCAAATTTGCCGTAAGATTTCGTGACATTTGCGTTAACAGTTGCCTCACGCGAGCCCTTATGAGCCCTTATATCAAGTTTTCTATGAAATGCCAGCAAAATATAATACATTTCACTCAATATATACCATTCAATGTCTATAACTATCTATAATACAAATATACAGACAATTTCAGTCGACAATCACTATTATATACTTAAATATGTTATTCTAAAAGTATTATGTAATCAATAATTTTGTTATATTTTTGAAAGCAATTTTATTCGTAGGCTATTAAATAGCATATATTGAACGATAAAGTGGTTGGACTGTAGTGTGAGTTGTCTTAAGGATGTCTACAATAGAGGTATGCGTTTGGAAAGGGAGAGAGCGATCGCATGCACTAAAAGGTTGAGTCGATCATCAAATGCGGTGTTTGTATGCATTGTTCACTCGCATCACCTCAACGTATATTTCTAAGGCATATAACGGATGGTAAGGGATGGTATGGAATGGTGTGTAAGAGCTACACACACACAAACACCAATCTCACTCAGGCAGGGCGCCCGAGCAGTAATGTGCGGAGCTTTTGTTACTCTCCCCATAGAGAGGGCATCCCTGCAAAAGATGCCGATGATCTTTGCCTCCCTGTGTGGCTATTCTCAGCTCACTTCTCAACTTTGATCAGCTTTTAATTTATATTCCCCTCTCATTCACTCATATATGCCATACAGCCATACATTTTCACTTTTTTACCCAACACTCTCAGTCAGACACCGCTATGTGGTATGAATAGGCGGCTCTCGATCGCCACTCTAACACATCGGGCCCTAACACACAGGCGCTCCGGCACTCCGGCACACCACTCGCACTGGCATTCAGCGCACCACCAGATTGTGTGTTGAGAGCACAGGAATGAAGGGTACAATGAAAGCAGGGATGAGCCCAAAAGGGCGAACAACTGTCTGAAGTGAGAAATGAAAACTTGTTATTTTGTGGCCAAATTAATTTGACATTAACTACAGAATACCCCATAAGATTCCGTATATTGCCTACCATTCCCTACCATACCTTACCACACATTCTCGATGTGTGTGTGTTTGTGGTTAGAGTGAGTCCGTCCCGCGGGCTCGTCATTACACGCCTCGAAAACAATGAGAGGGTATTGAGAGGGCATCCCTGCAAAAGATGCCGATGATCTTTGCCTCCCTGTGTGGCTATTCTCAGCTCACTTCTCAACTTTGATCAGCTTTTAATTTATATTCCCTGAACATTCACTCATATATGCCATACAGCCATAGATTTTCACTTTTTTACCCAACACTCTCAGTCAGACACCGCTATGTGGTATGAATAGGCGGCTCTCGATCGCCACTCTAACACATCGGGCCCTAACACACAGGCACTCCGGCACACCACTCGCACTGGCATTCAGCGCACCACCAGATTGTGTGTTGATCACACAGGAATGAAGGGTACAATGAAAGCAGGGATGAGCCCAAAAGGGCGAACAACTGTCTGAAGTGAGAAATGAAAACTTGTTATTTTGTGGCCAAATTAATTTGACATTAACTACAGAATACCCCATACACAGGAATGAAGGGTACAATGAAAGCAGGGATGAGCCCAAAAGGGCGAACAACTGTCTGAAGTGAGAAATGAAAACTTGTTATTTTGTGGCCAAATTAATTTGACATTAACTACAGAATACCCCATAATATTGTTATATGTTGTATGTTGGCTCTCCTGTCACTTCAAACACCATCTCTTATGGGAATGACATGTGAGAGCATATGAGAGCATACATCAGCCAAACCATACACTATTCGTATCATTAGAATAGTTTTTGACCTGAATTTGCAATTATTGTTTAGAAAATGTTTTAGTATTTTGTGGACTTTTTTTTCGTTGATAGCAATTTTGGTGGTCGTTTGTACATAAACTTTGGGCGCATTTTAAATAACAACTTTTCAGATATAAGATGTATATTATAATGTGAGTTATTGTCAAACAGTAATGTTTTTGTAGTTTATTTCTCCTAAACGTATGGAAAAAAGTTTCTGTCTTTCAATGTAATGATGATAACATCGTTTTGAAAATTTAGAGTCAAAACTGTTTTTACGTATAAATGTATTCCAATGTCTTACCATTAAAACAGATAGTGATAGTGGAGAGAGAGAGAGAGAGAGAGAGAGAGAGAGGTCTAAATACCAGTGAACACTTAATTTATGTTTAAAAAGTAAAACGAAATATTTAATAATCGTTGTTATAAATTAGAAAATAGTTGAGATATAATGAGATAATATTCGCGAAAATGTATTTAATTTACTCTGAAGTTTACTTTTAGGAAAAAATTTAGAAAGAATTATAAATAAAGATAATAATGAATTATAATTATATAATGATTTTAAAGTCAGACAACAAAAACGACAAAACTATATAAATCAGCAAAATATATTTGTGTGTGAAATGAATTTATCTGCTTTTTAAACGACTTCTTTTGGATGCGCTATATATTAGTTATAAATTAAAATTCAATTGATATCGTCGAAGACATAACAATTAATTTGAAGCAATTTTTGCGCTGCCATTAAAATGAATTGAAATTATTTTATATACCATTAAATGGTTTTTTATTTTTAGATACTGAAAAAAACAAATTATTTTCATCGCAGCTAATATTTAAATTAATTTCACAGAAATAGTCGTAAAGTCTATAGTGAGCGGCGGTATGGTATGGGAGAACATATGCTAATAATGTCTTAATTGAGAATAACTAACAGGAAATTTAAAGTTCATTTCGGTTTTGATTGAGTCCTGTGTTCACTAATTGGTTTTCATTAGCAAAATATATGTCACACTAATTGGTTTTCTTCTTGTGATTGATTTACATGTCTCTCTTGAGCCACATGTGAGCCATACATATCATACCATACCATACCATACCATACAAACCCCGCGACTATATATACGAAGAGCCGACTAATTAACACAAGCTTTACATCCAATGCTCTGCACAGCAGTGATGCGTTTGCGGTGTTTTGTGTACACAAACTGATGGCCACATTACAAGTGATCTTCAAATGTATACACTTCTTAAGTATGTGTCGCATACGAGATACTAAATGATCCATTATTTTACACTGTATTTCATTACACAAACACAACACTCCGGGCTTTGGGTGTCTGTCTATTAGAGGGGGACAACCAGTTTGGTCAGCCGTATGGGGTATGGGTGTCTGGGCCATATAAATCTTATAGTGGACTATAATAGTTTAAATTAAACATCGATTTTTAAAATGAATATTAAGCAATTTATTGTTTTATTACTAATTTAATATTTAAGAAAAAATGTTTGAATTTTTTATACAAGTTTAAGATGTAGATGTTTAAGGCCAAAAAATTCCGCTTTGGACAGCCTACCCCCTAATGATTACTATACTGTGTATGAATTTTATCCCCTAATAAATCCATTGCTAACATATTTTGGTAAAAATTTTAAAAATGTTAAAATTATATAAGATATGTTCGAACAGCAAAAATTGTTTCCCAAGTATTAATCAAAAATGAAAATTGTAGCAATGTACTGTATGTACTGTATGTGCTAATTTGAGAAGTGAATTCTCTGATATAAATGAAACAAATCATACAGTAGAGGGGACTTTAATTACATGTTCACTAATATTTCCTAAAAGTTTCATTTATTTTTAAAGTTATTAAGTTGTGTAAACAATATCTCTGTGAATAAATTCTTGACACATGTTCAATATTATTGTGTCTTTAACAAATTAATATTAATTTAAATTTAAGTATGTTTTATAATATTCAAGATTGTATTGTACTAACAGTAAACTTACTAAATATAAGACTATCATAATACAGACTTAACACATGCTATTTAAAATTGATAGCATTTAATATAAGATATAAGTTTATTAAAATATAAGTATTTAACTAATTATGTTAAAAAGGCTATGAATGGGTGTACAATATGTTGGAGTAGTGGGCGATGGAGGGGTCGTTGTATTCTGTCATCCCTTTTATCACAGGAAGACAATCAAATTCATGTCACATACGATTCATATGAATTGCAGTGAAAATATGTGCTTAATATCAAAGGTCTAACAGTAATCCGGGTCTGTGTTTATAAGCAGACATTTGTCTCATCTGAATATTATTTAAAACATATGTTCTAATTATCATATTTTTGCCAAATATCAGTTCATTCTTGACTTGCCTGTCTCAAATACTCTGTATATTCTAGTAACTCAAATACTGTAGTAATTCAACAGGCAACTTGTACTGTAATACAGTTCCCAAGCAACTTTGTTGCCCTTATTCGCCATCTATTGAATTCATTTGGGTTTGAAAATTCTAATTCGAAAAGTTTAAAACAAATACTAAATATTTCAAATTGAGCATGATAATTGCATTATGCTAGTGTAGCAAGAATTTATAAATCATAATTTTAATTTATTTATTTTAATAAATTTAGAAAAATAAATTATGCTTATGGTCACATTTTATTGAAATCATTTCAATTAACAATATACTGCATATAAATACTGTATTTCATAATTAATCAAATATTTCTAATTAAAACTGATTTTTAAAATAAATAATTTAAAAAATTAATAAAATCTCAAATCCATTTCGATTATAATTTAATGCATTTATCACTCAATAATCAAAGATTAGTATAAATTTCATTAAAATAGAAAATTTAAAAACATTTTATGTCAAAAATAGTGAGCGGTTGTGGACGGCCTATCGCGTTAATATAGAGGCCATTCTGGGAACGACCTCTGCCTGGACTGGACCCGACTCTATGAGCTCCCCGTCCACCGTAACCTTCCCGACGTCGGCGTACGGTTCGATGCGGAAGGCCTTGACGGGCAAAAAGCTGATGTACGGGAGGGCCGGGTGTTTGCCCTTCTCGAGAGCCAACAGGAATTGAATGACTTGTTTGCGGGAAACGTTGCCCCGAATGAAGAGCAGCCAAATGAGGCCGTCGTCTAACGTGGCGTTTGGCGCGAAGATAGCCGTCGCAGAGATGTGCGACTGGAATGAGGAGTAGATCTGAACGAACAGGTCGTCGATTGTTACCCAATCGGAGGGGACGGGTGTGTCGAGTGCCGGAACTGTAGACGACGGGCTGTCCGCCGGAAGGTAACTGAGTTTTGCTCTGTGTTTGCGTAACATCAGAGACCTATAGACGGCCCAAATGGTGAATCGCGGCTCTCCTATCATACGCAAGCGCTCGGACTCTATGTCAATGTCCGCCATAAGACCCCATCCAACCGACAGGAATGAGTAGTAAGTATTGAGAGATGTGGTGACCCGTACCAAATCCATGGGCACTGGTCTGCCTTGAGTGACATGTAGTGTGCAGTCGTATATGGGGTCAACAGATTTGACGCGATTGAGAAACGCCTGATTGACGGCATGAGCCAAACCATTGCCAGAACCGCCCGGTATTATGCCTAATGTCACCGGAATTTTGCCATCGCTCAACGTATCACTCCGTTTGGTGAGTCCATTGACCACTTCATACAGGAGCCCATCGCCCGACACCACAACTATAGCCCGATATCTGGCGATGTCGTCCATATCTCGCATGAGTTCCATGGCATGATTGGCCCGATCCGTGATATGTGTCTCGAAGTGAGTATCGCTTTCCTTAAGCAACGGTTTGACGTAATGCTCAAAAATCTTGAGCGCCCGACCCTTTCCGCTCTTGGGGTTCACGATAAACAAAAGCGGTTTACTCTTAATACTGATGTTATTGTTGTATACGTTTCCGTAGTTTAGGCTCAGAATCGTGTGCTTCCAGTCGATGGCCTCCTCTATGTTGGCCTCACGGGTCGAGTGCTTACAAAATACTAATTTAATTGACTTTTTCTTTCGCTTTGATCGCCGGATACGATAAGCGATTATATTTACAAATACTTTTGGTGTCGACTCGTCGCCCGTGTCGTCCACAGTACAGCCAATGATATCGACGATGTAAACCAACGACGATTTATCCTTCAATTTGTCTCTGTAGTTGTATTTGAGCGCATTTTTAGTCAACTCCACCGCACAGGTAGTCATCACGTTATCGTCGATCAATATCTCGATGCTAGCCATTCGTAATACTCTGTCATCAATGGATTCATCATTTTGTATGCCATTAGTTGATTGCATTTCGCTTGCATTTGGAGTTACTTTCATTGTATTGAAAACTTTTTTGTGACTTATATTTCACTTTTTAATAATGTATGAAATTTTATCTTCACTTTTTTCGGTTACAACTCTACTTTGTCTTAATATATCGTTTAGTATTTAACTTCATTTGTAATGAAACTGACGTTTAGTCCCAAAAGTATTAGTTATCTGTAATAAGAGAATCAAAATTATATAAAATATTTAATTATATCAGATGTTCAGTAAATGTTAAATAATATTAACAAGAATTGAAGGTCTATTATCTCAAAAAATATTACATTAAATCTAATTGAGACAAAAAGTTAAGATAACATGGGGTATAAAGTCTATTTTAAATGTCTCAGCACTTGTAATAAACTCAACATTTTTGTTACTCTTTTATATTTCAAACTATTATTTTCAGGAATTTATTAATGACTTAATATTAATTGGTTTCAATTATTTTATTTTTCTCATTTGAGAGTTTAATAACTTTGAAAAACCTTCACTAGGTTTGTAATATTTAAAAAAGTACTGTATATTATTTTTTCCGATAAGACCATACAATTATTAAATCATAAAACTTGTTGTATGTTTACAGTGAGAGTCCAAATGAGTTAATAAGCGTTTACTTTAAATGGAAATGAAATTCATGCAAAATATAATTTATGTGAAAAGTAAACAAAAAAGTTTAACTCAATTAAAATCTCGTTTCGCTTATTGTCTCGATTTTCTATAATTGAAAATACTTTCACGAAATCAATGTTCAAAAGGGTGTAAAATATATATTTATTTTATCGTTGAATAACGCATGCATTCATTGATGACATAATATAAGTGTCTATTCATTGTCATTCAAAGTGACATTAATTATAATGAAATGTGTTTTTGACAATTAATTCATTGTGTGCGACAAACAAAATGTGAATTTTCCTCCTATTATTTCCAATAAAACAAAACCAAAGTTTTTAAAACATTTAATGAATGCGTAAAAATAAATACTAACAACGATCATAGATAACGCGTTTAAAACATAATATTTCAACTCGCAAACTGAACCGGAAGCTAATGAAAAGTTTTTTAGTTTTAGAAAAAATGATTTCATAGCCTAGTATTTGGAGTCCTATTTTCAATGGGATATCCAGTACTCCAGTGGCGGAGAGAGAGAGAGAGAGAGAGAGAGAGAGAGAGAGGAAATTGAATACTATTTTCAATGACATCGAGTATATTAATTTCAATTCATATGATAAATTGTCTTTACAAATGCCAAAATGCATAATAAATTGTTTTTACATATGTGTTATTGTGTTGACAATTAGTTGCAAAGAATATTCATTAGAAAACATTGTTTTTCAAACTCACCCATGAATTCCCAATCCAATGATACCAACAGTTGAGTCAATACAGGCACTAATATATTGAATATTAAAAATAATTTTACGATAAATTATATTGTAATCGGATATGACTTTTATCGACGAAAAAACTGTTTTTTATTTATATTTATTAACATGTATTCTGTTAACAGTTAACACCATATCATATGTTAGTGTTTCTCAGTGTAATCAACAGATATAATAATTACGATCACAGACTATATTACATGCACTTTGCAATTGCTAAATTTAATAATACATACAAAACATATAAAAATAGGGAACAAATCCACACTTGTTTTGACCATTCATTCAATAATACACTAAATATTTTTACTCTCCCTTTAAATACGGAGAGAATAGCGAGAGATTGAGAGAGAAAACAGTCTAAAACCGATAGTTAAGTGCCTTTTGGCTCAAATGAATGGATTGAATGGTTTGCGCATATTTTGTATACGTTTGGTTGCTTTGGAAACATTTCACTTACCTGTCCCTTCAGTCTGGTTAAGCACTGTATTCCCAGGTATGCCATACACTGTACTTATACTATGTTTTTAGCATACAATTGATATTTTCAAGGCTATTTTGACAACATCTCTCACCAACTTTTAGTTTGTGAATATTTCCTTTTCTTATCCCTAACTTTAAAATCTTTGAAAACTTTGTCCAAAACAACAAGAATTTGAGTTTTAGTCGACACAACACTGGAATATAATAGGAATTTGTTGTTTTGAAGCGCTAAATGGCTGGGAGCACCCGGACTACTTTCAAACTAGTTTGTGGGACTCATTGGAGTTTGTTTTTCGATCTCATCCAGTTTTGTTCAGAAAATACAATTCACTGTTTCATTAAAATAAGTTTGTTTTGAATGATATTTCAAAAGAATCGCACATTCATTGAGATAAGAGTGAAGCTAACAAACAATTATTTATCATTTAAATCTATTAATAATGATAATTATACAGTAGTTTAATAAATAAATAGATTTTGATGACAACATGTTTATCTGAATTATACATTGTATAATAAATTAATATTGTATCGATGAGCTCGTAAAATTACTTTATAAACTAGTAATAACAAGAGTAAAAATGCAAATAGGAAAATAAATTATATTTTATAGATTTAGTCTCTTTGTGTTGTATTAATCGATAAATATTAGTGAGTTTGTATTATAATAGATATTGAAACTTTTGTGAAATATGGTTAATTTGTATACAAATAATTTGTATTAAATTGTATGATGTACAGTTAATGTCTAAAAGTTAATAAACATTGTATTACAAATTGTAATTTAAAATAACTAAATCCTTAAATAAAACTATTTCATAAATTATAAATGAACTTTATAAAAATATGTTAATTAAATGAAACTTATAAAATGCCAATAATTTGTTTTTGTACATTTATTTTGCTGTAATAAATAATTACTTGTAGACGGAATTAAATTCACAAATATCTTGTTTATTAAGACTAGAGACCACTACAGTATTATGATTAGTAAATTATTGATGTTAATTTACTTCCGTGTATTATAAAGAACTGATCCATTTGTATAGGTGTCTGTACACTGTACAGTGTACAGTATATCCGTACATAAAACCTTAATTTGCATTTCATGTACAAAAATAAATAAACCAAATATACAGCAAAATACAGGTTTTGGGTATTTTCCTGACCTAAAATATTTTAAAATTCATTAAATACACTCGTCTGTGTAATTCATTTTATAACTTTCCATTTCTTGAAAGTTATGGTAATAATAATTAAATATATAAAACTTTCATTTGTATATATTTATTATCACATTATAACTTTTTTATTTTACAGACATTTAGAAAAATAATAGGTTCAAATGGTAATATATTTATTTTATTTTTATTATAATTGCACAGTATTATTTTTTAAATATTGTGATAAAATTCATTTAAAATCAATAAAATTT